AAACTCAGTCAAAGCTGACCCTCCAATGGATTTACAGGAGGCTGTAAATATCAGGGAAGGAGATGGTACATCTTTCTCCTGGGGAACTGCTGGTAGATTTTACTGCCTGAGGTACCACCCTTGGGATAATAGCACAACTCCTTACAGACTAACCACTACTGTTACTGAGTACCAACCACTTAGAACCAGTCCATAGCTGACATTCTTCTAGTAGGTCTTCAGAGGCAGTAAATCCTACAGGAGACTGCCCATCCTTCTTCTGCAAAGCAGTCTGTGGACTCAGACCTTTGAGTTGGCAATTCAATTCCTGAACATTAAGCCATCAGATGTCTCTCCAAGTCTATCCACTATTGTTGTAGATGATCAAGTCAGAATCAACCTACAGCTGAGCCTCTAGAGGGTTTTTAGAGACAGGAAATTACATCGGAGTTGAACGCCCATCTTTAATCCATTGAGTATCTGGTGGATTTGAACTGCATACCATTGCACTCCACCCAAGTATGATGTCCCTCTCCAAGGACTGGTCCCTCTTTGCAACATGTCCAATGTATGTCAGACGAAGCTTCAGAATCCTTGTCTCCAAGGAGCAGTCAGGTCTCATCCTCTCTAGGATGAACCTGTTTATTCTTCTAGCAGTCCATGGCATATTCAATACTCTTCTCCAGCACCACAGCTCAAAGGCATCAATTCTCCTTCAATCATTCCTAGTCATTGTCTGGCTTTCTGATGCATAGAAAGCAATTGTGAAGACTATGACCTGGATCAGGCACATCTTAGTCTCCAGACTGACATCATTGCTCTTCAGTATTTTGGAGACATCTGTGACAGCAGACCTTCCCAATGCAATTCGTCTTTTGATTTCCAGACTGCTGGTACCAACAGTGTTGATTGTGGAGCCAAGCAGAATAAAGCTGTTAACAATCTCAATCTCTTCACCACCTATCATAATGCTGCCAATCAGTCCAGTGGTGAGAATCTTTGTTTTCTTGATGTTGAGTTTTAATTGATATTGAAGGCTGCAGTCCTTGACCTTGTGCAGCAAGTGCTTCAGGTCCTCCTCAGTTTCAGCAGGCAGAGTTGTGTCAACTATATAACGCAGAGTGTTGATGAGTCTTCCTCATGCTTGGGAGGGTGGAGGGATAGCACAAGAGAGGAAGACCCTCAATGAGATGGACTGATTTAGTGACTGGGGTAATGGGAAAATGGGGTATAAGAGACAGTAAGATTGGTTCAAGACAGAGCAGGGTTTAGGGCTGTTGTACATGGGGTCACCAAGAGTTGCAGGTGATTCAACAGCACATAACAATAATAATCACCACCACCACCACTACCTTTGCTCTGGCAGCACAATTCCTCACCACTAAGCCTCTAGAGCTCCCTCTGGACTACAAATTCACTGTGTTGTTGCTAAGGTTAGAGTTAGTGGTATGGTTTTGAAATTCATGCATGTGCTGCATTGACTGTCAATAATTGTTGTTTTGTGCCACTGAGTTAACTATGACTCACAACCTTATGAACAACAGCTCTGAACCCTGCCCTATCCTGAGCCAGTCTGTCTCTGACCCACTTGTCCCCACCGCCACAGTCATCTCATCCTGCACTGTCCCTCAACCCTTCCATGCATGATGTCCTTTTCCAAGGATTGGTCCCTCCTGGCAAGACGCCCAACGTATGTCACATGGCGCTGCTTAAAAATCTAGAGTTCCTTAAATGTTTTAAAGATTAGTAAATTGAATGTAATATAATATTTTAAAAATTCTATTATGAAGGAATCATTCTAGAAAATGAAGAGGGATTTAATAAAACTTTAAAAACCCCTACAGTAAAATTTTAATTGACAGTTTAAAAAATTTCCAGTAATTTCCAATTAAAAAAGAAATAAAATGAAAAAGAAACAATACAAAGGATTAATATCTAGAGTTCCTACAACTCAGCATACTAAAATTGTAACGTAATATGCAGAAATATAACTAGTCGATAAATATATCTCTTTAAAACTTCAAGCACAGTGACACAAATACGAAACAAAATACAATCTTCAAATTAGCTAAGGTGATTTATTTCTATAATATTTTTCACAGGCCATGTCAGTTATGTTCTAACAGTTAAGTTTTCCTGAAAGGTCACACAAAAGCCTCCTGTGGTCAAGTGTTTGGATATGAACCCAAAAGATGATGGATTGAACTCACCAACCATTGCACGGGAGGTTCTACTGGCCTAGTGGCAAGGAATTGCGCTGTCAACACTAAGGCATACAGTTAAAAAAATCCACCAGCTGCTCTGAGGGGAGAAAGATGGACAATCAACCCATGTGATTTACCACGTCTGAAAACCCACTGGGGCAGGGGTGTCAACTGCGAGTGGGTTCTAACTTGATGATACAGAACAACAAAAACCACTCCAAAGGAGAAAAATGTGGCAGCCTACCTACATGAAGAATTGACATAATGGAAATCCATTGTGGCCTTTAGGCTTGATGAGGTGGAAGTGGCGGTTTATTTTAATAACAAGGCTGTTCTGTCCATATGGCTAAGCAGGTCACACTGCTGTTTAATTTTTAGTTCTTTTGTTAGCTGTCATCCAGTTAGGCCCAGACTCACAGCAACCTCAGACTCTATAGGACAAGACCACTGTGTCCCACAGGGCTTTGTCAGTTAACTTTTGGCCAGGCTTTGCTTGGTTTGTTTGAAATTAGACACTGTGACACTTACTGAGCATTTCTGCCAAAGGTAAGCCCCTAGTGACAGGTGAGTGGTGGCTATCCAGAAGGTAGATGAGCTAGAGACAGAACCCAGATCCTCCTCATAGAATAGGAGAATTCTACCACTGACACACACTTGCTCAGTACAGGAACTGCAGAGGTCAAGTGCTGTTCCCATAACAGAGGTAAGGAGTCCAGGACTAGCTGTGGAACTATGTCGCCTGGCCTGTGACCAAGCCAGTGGAGATGTCACCAATGCCCAGCAAATGATGCATGCACTTTCTGGATAATAATGTGACACATCTAGTCCTACAGGTGGTCTCCTCCTTATACATGCTCAGCATGTAATTATTCTAAAATGAGAATCTAAATAAAGACCATAAAGAGCCAGGTTCAAAGGCTAAAGAACACAGTACTAAGTAAAAGAAAACATCCTCATTGTGGCTAGAACTGCTGCTTCTCAGATAAAGCCCTCCCTCTACTCTCAGCCTGCTCAACTACTAGTTGGAAGCCAAAGTGGCCAGGACTACCACAGAAAACACAATGACCCAAGACCACACCTCTGACATAAGAAAAAGGTGCCAACAGAATACTGCCCAGTTCAACTAGTTTCTAAAAAAAAAAAAAAAAATACTGCCCAGCAAAGACCTCATGTGATCTCCTGACCCCACCAACAATATAGTGGGGGGTGTACAAAACAACAAAAGCTTCTGAGAGATTGATGCACCTGTACACTTACTGCTTCACACATAAGCTTTATATAGCTGATTCCAGTATTCCCAGTCCAACCAACTCCAGAGTCACTTCTCTTCTAAACCTTTCATATAGCTGCTAAGAACAACTGGCATAACACAGTTCCTAAGATAATGTTCTACATCCTAGCTTAAGGAATAGTATCTAGGTCTTAAAAGCTCAGAGCAGCTCTATTTCAGTCTTTTTCTGATGACAGTATGCTGTAAAATTTGGCTTTACCTCTGTCTTTCTGGGGGTCCTTTCCCCCTTTTCTCTTTTTCACATTAACCCTTTTGCACAGCCTACCTTTCACTAGTTTTGTCTCTGTTTTATTGCCATAATACAACATTTTTACTTGTTTTGCTAAGAGAAAAACAAAACAAAACCCCAAAACCAAAAAGCTTATGGCCTGGTCTCTTCCTCCACCTAAAGCAAAGCAGTCACTTGTACAAAGGAGCAGTGGTTCACATGAACCACTTTTGTCTCCTTTATTCAGAGGCCAGAACTAGATGGTGCCTGGCTACAACTTCTGACCCCTTTGATCAAGAAAACAACAGAAGGCCCTCATCAAAATGGGAGAAACATGTAATCACTAAAAAAAGGCCAGACTTACTGGTCTGACTTACAGGGAACCTTGGAGACTGAGCGAAGGCATTCTTCTAACATGGAACTGAAGCCACTCCCAAATGACATCTTTGAGCCAAATATACATGCCTATATTGTAAAAAAACCACATCCACGAGGAATGTGCTCCTTAGAATTATCAACCATATGAGACCAAAGGGCAACATATGCCCAAAAGCAAATATGAGAGGGCAGGGATGGACAGGGAACCCAGATAAATGAAAATGGAGCACTGATGCACTGTGAGCATGCGATGTACATTATATGAAACAATCTGTACATAAATTATATAAAAGGAAATTAATTGGTATATAACTCTTCCAACAAAAAGATGTGCACTAAGATTTTCACAGGAAAATATCCATGAATGAATTAAAACACAGTAATCAGCCAGGATGAAAACTAGAAATCCGTTTGTGCTGAGCCAATTATAACTCCTAGTGACCACATGGAGCAGAATGGGATGGTTCAAATGGGTTTACAATGACTGTAAACTATATGGTGAACAGCACCTCATCTTTCATCTGCAGAGTAGCTGGTGGGTTCAAGCAACCAACCTCTGGTTAGCAACTAAAAGCTCTAGCTAGTGTGCCATCAGAGCTTCTGGCCAATATAGAAAGGACTAATAAACAAAGCCACCAAAAAGCTGATGGCACAGCTTTCCTGTAACAGATGGGTCACCAAGAGTTGGAATCTACTCCAGTAAAAGTTGTTCCTTTTGTACAATTATTACGGAGTATTATACACTTGTGAAAAGGAACCATCAGGAGTTCCATTGCAGGTTTCCCCTCACCTCAGCTGCCTCTAGTCCTTAAAGGGGAAGGACAAAACAATCTACCAAATGTCTGAATGATGGACATATTTTTTCTCTCTTAAGCATCATTTAAGTTCCAATAAAAAATTAATATCAAGGAGGGACAAGGTAGAGTCGGGCACCTCCGCCAGGTCCGCTCTTGGTCCACGCCATCCATTGCGCCGCCCGTCCAGCGTCCTTTGCCGCCGCTGCCATGGGAGCGCAGGTGGAGACCATCTCCCCCGGAGACAGGCGCACCTTCCCAAAGCGCAGCCAGACCTGCGTGGTGCACTACACGGGGATGCTTGAAGAGGGAAAGAAATTTTATTCCTCGCGGGACAGAAACAAGCCCTTTAAGTTTATGCTAGGCAAGCAGGAGGTGATCCGAGGCTGGGAAGAAGGCGTGGCCCAGATGAGTGTGGGTCAGAGAGCCAAACTAACCATCTCCCCAGACTATGCCTACGGGGCCACTGGGCACCCAGGCATCATCCCGCCAAACGCCACTCTCGTCTTCGATGTGGAGCTTCTAAAACTGGAATGACAGGAATGGCCACCTCCCTTAGCTCCTCGTTCCTGGATCTGCCATGGAGGGATCTGGCACCTCCAGACACATACACATGACCTCCACACGGAGGTTCCCCGATGTTTCACTCCACTCTATAACCATCTGCCCCGATTGAATGTGTTCTGTCACTCAGCTTTGCTTCCAACACCTCCATTTCCTCCTCTTCTCTCTCCTTGTATGTATGTTGACTTATATATACCACCAACCTCAGATTATTCATTTTATTTTTTGTTTTGGTTTTGGGGTGAAGATTCAGTTTCAGTCTTTTGGGTCTAGATTCCTGTTAAGCATATGATCCAGTATTAATAGCACAAACAGTGGGTTCACTTTAGAATAGGACTCAGTGGGATGGGGAGGATTTGGGGGGAGAACACAAGAAACTTTATTGTGTGTTTTTTTTTTGATGAAATTTTTATTATATATTAAACATTCTTGCTGCTGCTGCGCTGCCAAGCCATAGCAGATGTGAGGCGCTGTTGAGGGCTGACCTGTTCTCCACGTTGAGGAGCTGTCCGTGGGTTGAATTACAAGCCCTACCAGAACTGAAGTGGGGAAGGGGAGAGCCTTCGCCTCCCCCAGCCAGTCCCACCCTCCCCGCAGACCCTCTGCCTTTCTCAAGCAGATGGCTTTCACTGCAGTGTCGGACACTACAGGGATCTGTGCCCAGGCCAGCAGGGGCCTGAGAAGCCGCCTTCGTGGCCTGGCTTATGTAATTTTTATTTTATTTTTTTGCCATCCTGTGGTTTTTCTAAATGGATTTTTCAGGACTTTTGTAATCTCAAAGCTGTCAAAGCGCAACCACTTCCTAAATTTTCAGAACTTTAATTGAAAGTTTAAATTGAAGGTGCTGTTTGTAGACACTTAACCACCCAGTGAAAGCCCAGCCATTAAGACAAATCCTTGAGTGTTCTCTTCAAAAAATGATTCTGGTCATCGCAGCTTCAGCATCTTCCCCTGCTGACCTCAGTTTCCTGGCTTCCCTCCCCCTCTCACCCCTCTGCTGTCCTGTGTAGTGATTTGGTGAGAGAAGTTGACGCTGTCCCCCTGCCCCATCTTCTGCACCACATAGGAGTTTCAAGTTTTATTATTGCAATAAAAGTGCTTTATGCTGGCAAAAAAAAATTATTATCAAATAATTGTCATTTGAATATCAATGTTTACTGTAGCACTGTTCACAATACCTAAAAAGAAGAAAGAATAGAAATACTCATCCACAAATAAATGGACAAACAAATGTGATCTTTCTGGACACTAACAGTCAACAAAGACAAATCAAGTTTTGACACATGCCACAGTGTAGATGAACCCTGAACACATTGTGCTGAGCAAAGTCAGTCACAAAAAGGCAAGTTACTGTATTGAAACGAAACAGAGAAATGCAACATAAAGACCAAGGTTTATTATAGCTGACCAGGAAGGAAAAAAGCCTCATGCTGAGAGACAGTGAGCTCACAGGTGACACATCTTTGAAACTGACAGCCAAAACTGAAAGTATTTGTTCGAATTTGTAAATAAACTAGTAGAGAAAAAAAAAAGACTAGTAACAGCTCACGAGAAATGTAACCCGATGCCACTGAACTGTACATAGGGCAGATGTTTCGTTATGCTTATTTCCACCATTACAAAAATCACCAATAAGTGCTTACAATGGTGGTTGTTTTTATGTGCCCGGGAGTCGCCTGCAACTCACAGCGACCCTATGTACAACAGCTCTGAAGCCTACCCTGTTGAAGCCTGAGGCAGTTCATAGTATATCATTATGTTGGTATCATTAATGCCAGAAAGCTATGTACATAACAAGTGAAATGGCAAATGTTTGTTATAGACATGGTTGTTGTGTGCCAGAGTCAGAACAGACTCACAGGTGACCCTCCAGCAGATTTTCAGAGGCTATAAATCATGTGAGAGGAGGTTGTCCATCTCTTTCTCAGAGAGCAGCTGATGGATTTTAACTGTGTAGTTTCAGCAGTTCCCAATTTTGAACCATGCAGTGTTTCCTTGCTCTGTTCTTTCTGAAGACTGCCTCTTAGTCCAAGTATAGGTTTTGCATTAGCATGATCAAGTGTTCTGGGATTCCCACTCTTCTCAGTCAGCCACAGTTTGTTGTGAACCCCACAAGCGCCTCTGTATAATCAATGAAACACAGATAGACATTCTTCTGGTACTGTGCTTTCAGCTAAGATCCAGCTAACATTAGCTACAATATCCCTAATATCACAACCCCTTCTAAACCCAGACTGCACTTCTGGCAGTTGTCTGTTGATGCGTTGTTACAGTTATTTTGGGATAATCTGCAGCAGAATCCTGCTTGCATGTGATAGTAACGATATTGTTCGATACTTTCCACACTGTTGGAACACCTTTCTTTGGAATGGGAACAAATATAGATCTCTTCCAGTCAGTTGGCCAAGTAGTTGTCCTCCAGATTTCTTGGCACAACTTGGTGAGCACATCCAGGCAGCGTCTGTTACTCAAAATATGTCAACTGGTATACCATCAATTCCTGGGACCTTATTTTTTGCCAATTCTTTCAAAGCAGCTTGAACTTCTTCCTTCATCACCATAGGCTCTTGCTCATATGTTGTTTCATTAAATTCTGCTGCGTCTTCCAATTCTTTTTGGTACAGTGACTCTGTATACTCTTTCCATCTTCTTTTAATACTTCCTAGATCATTTACTGTTCTACCCAAAGCATCCTTAAGTATTGCAACTCGAGGTTTGAATTTTTTCTTCAATTCCTTGAGCTTAAGAAATGCTGAGCAAGTTTTGATTTTCTTACTCCAGCTCTTTACACATTTCTAATACTTTACTTTGTAGTCTTTCCGCGCTGCCTTTTGAAATATTCTGTTCAGCTCTTTAGTATCTTGATTTCTTCCCTCCACTTTGGCTTCTTGGCACTCTAGTGAAATATTCAGTCTCTTCTGACATCCATTTTGGTCTCTTCTTTCTCCTCTGTCTTTGTAATGACCTTTTATTCTTCCTGGATGATATTCTTGATATCCTCCCACAAGTTCTCTGGTCTTCACTCATTGCTGTCTAGGGTCTCAAACCTGTTCCTGAGATGGTTTTGAATTTCAGGTGGGATAGACTCAAAGTCCTATTTTGGTTCCTGCGGATTTGATTTCATTTTCCTTAGCTTCAGTTTGAAATTGCATATGAGTAGTTGGTAGTCTGTTCCACAATCAGCACCTGACCTAGTTTTCACAGCTGATTTTGAGCTTCTCCAGCAATTCTTTCCAAAGACGTAATGAATCTGATTTCTATGCATACCATCAAGTGAAATCCATGTGTATAGCCTACATTTATGTTTCTTATAAAATATATTTGAAATTAATAAATCATTGACTGTGCAAAATCAAATCATTCTATCTCCAGCTTCATTTCTGTCACCAAGCATGGTTCAAAACTGGGAACGGTGTACGCCAGAGATGTGTCCTATCTCCATACCTTTTCAATCTATATGCAGAACACATTATCCAGGAGGCTGGGCTGTATGAGAAAAAATGTGACATAAGGATTGGAGGAAGATTCATCAATAATCTGTGTTATGGAGATGACACAACTCTGCTTGCTGAAACTAAGGAGGACCTGAAATACTTGCTGCAGAAGGTCAAGGACTGCAGCCTTCAATATCAATTTAAAACTCAACATCAAGAAAACAAAGATTCTCACCCCTGTTCCAATTGGCAGAATTAGGATGGATGATGAAGATACTGATATTGTTCACAGTTTTAGTTTGTTTGGCTCCACAATCAACACTCTTGGCACTAGCAGCCAGGAAATGAAAAAATGTATTGTTATGGGAAAGTCTGCTGTTAGAGACCTCTCCAAAATACTGAAGAGCAATGATGTCTCTCTGGAGACTAAGGTGTGCCTGATACTGGCCATGGTCTTTGCAATCACTAGCTATGCATCAGAGAGCTTAGACAATGACTAGGGATGATAGAAGGAGAATTGATACCTTTGAGCGGTGGTGTGGGAGAAGAGTATTGAATATACCATGGATTGCTAAGAAAATGAACAGGTTTGTCCTAGAGAGAGTTACACCAGCCTGCTCCTTGGATGCAAGAATTCTGAAGTTTCATCTGACATACCATGGACATGTTGCAAGGAGGAACCAGTCCTTAGAGAGGGATGGCATGCTCACAAGGGTGGAGAGACAGCACAGGAGAGGAAGACCTTCTATGAGATGGATTGATTCAGTGACTGGGGTTAATGTGGTAGATAAGTCAGAGACAGTGAGACTGGCATAGGATAGAGCTGGATTTAGGGCTGTTGTACATAGGGTTGCTATGAGTCGCAGGTGACTCAACGGCACATAACAATAACAAAATCTTTCAGCAGACAGCATAACTCCCTACCACTAGGCCATGAAAGCTCTTTGTAGCAGGTATTTTACAACAGAAAATGGTTAAAGAGAATGAACTAATGTACTAAGAGCATTAATAATTCCCTTTCTGGGGGTCTCCAGCATCGCCTCAACTCAAACCAGTAATCTGTGACTATCCCACATGCACAGCCTGCCATGTTGTAAAGGTAGGCTTGGCCTAGTGCTGCTGTTCCTTCGTATCCCACCCCTGAAGGACCTGACCTCAGGTAAGTCTGAGGTGAAAAGGATGGATAAGAGGCGGAATGAGGAGGGGATAATGGCCCACATCTTGGTTTGTGAGTCATATTCTCGAGGTCCAGCATCCTCAACTAGGAGATGAGAAGGACCTGGACAATCTGGCCCAAGCAGGCAACCATTACACCAAGCAGTGCTCACCTCTGGCCTAAGCCTACTGCAGTCTACTTGCACAATCTCTGCTTGTGTGATGCCTGAAGGGGGCCTCAGTGGATCTGTCAAACCTTGCGGTCTGGCCAAAGAGCTTCCAGTTCACAGGTGTGGACTGCACAACCTTCTCAGATGCGTTTAACAACTATCCCATCCTTTTCCCTCTGCTCAACACCTGACTGATAAGGACCAGAATCTCAGGGTGGTCTCCCAGCAAGGTTTTCTCCACCTGCACCTTGAGCCCCACCACTTCAAGTGGCAAAATTCACCAAATTGATCTTGTAAAGCAGACTGGAAACTCCTGGATTTAAAGTGCCTAAGCATTTACTAAGGGAACTCTGGTGGCTTAGTGGTAAAGAGCTATCAACCCAAAGACAGGCAGTTCGGATCCACCATCTGCTTCACAGGAGAAGAATGGATAATCTCTTCCTGGGTGATTTACTGCCCCTGAAAACTAGACAGAGCATCAACTACTGGTTGGTTCAACTCAGCAGTACACAATGACAACAAGGATTTGCTAAGAAGCCTTGACAGCAGAGTGGTTAAAGCAGTTGGCTAACCAAGAGTAATCTGTTACAGTGGCTCTGTAGGGGGAAAAAAAGAAGAAGAAGAAAAAAAGGCTATTTGTTTCCAAAAAGCTTTACAGCGTTGGAAACTATGAGCAGCCCAACTCTGTCCTACAGGGTTGCTGAATCAGAAGCAATTCCACTGCAGTGGGTTTTGTTTGAAGTTTGGACTATTTGCTAGAATACTACCAAGTACATTTTTCCTTCATTTTGTAAATGACTTTAAATGACAAATCTGAGGTTTACAATCCCAGTTTGAGGGACTCTGAATAAGTCATGCTTTCATAATTACCATCAAGAAGAAAGCAGATTGTGTATTCTGCTTTGGTCAAGCACGAGATGTGCCCATGAGAAAGATGCTGAATCACAACAGAAAAAGTATAAATTAGGCTCAGGTGAGGCACAGGGTGAAAGGGACAGGGAGAGAGGCCCTTGCATAAAAGTCATGGCTGTGAGCACGGGTGACAGGCACCCTATGGATAGATGGGCAGTGCCTAGGGAGAAGTTGGGGAGAGCCATGGGCATCCTTCCTGCACAGCAGTAATGTTCTGGGATAGAAGAAGGGCTGGGAGAAACAAAGTAGAGTGAGAGACCAGAACAAAAGCCACGTTCAAGTGTTAGGAGGATGCCAGGGGGGGTAAGGTGGACAGAAGTGGATGGACAATGCCAGGGTGTCAGAGGTCAAGCTTCTGAGCCTGGTCTCAGCTGAGTAGGGGCTTGTCAGGATGTGCAGAGTGAGGGCACCAGTCTGAAGCCGTGCCAGGTGGTAGGATACAAACACAGACCAAGTGTCTGGAGGATGAGGAACACAGGACAGAAAAAGGACAGTACACTTAACCACAGGGATGTGGGGCCATAAGAAGGAGCTGTCAGAAGGGCCTCGAGTTCTCCTAAAGGCAGAAGGCTGAGTGACTGAATTGGGGTTGAGGAGGACAAAAACTGAGGCACACACTCCAGTGCAAATACTGGGAGCTTTAGGAAGAGACTTGGGATATGTAGGAGGCAGATGTTGGAGGGCACGGCACAAAAGCATGGCAAGGGGCATTCAGGGGATAGAGACATAGATGCCAAACCCAGCAGGAGGCAAAGAGTAGTCAAGATGGAGCCCATGTGGCCTCCGACCATGGAGGCCCAAAGAAGAAGATCCATGTTGTACAAAAGGCCAGGCATGCAGAAGCCAGGAGAAAGGAGAGGGCAAAGACCAGACTTGTGTTGATAACCTTGGCTCTAAAGAGCTCAGGAGCCAGGATCGTAGGGAACCAATGCAAGACATGGTTCTCCACATAACCCAGGACTATGTATTGTGACCACTTTACAGCCCCAGAATGATAATCAGTTTTGGTCACCTCTACTAAGATTCTCCTTGTGAGCAGAGATAAGCCCAGTAGCACATACACCACCTTAAAGAACAATCCAGTAACAAGTAGAAACGTTCAATACTCACAGGAACAATAAGCCCTTGCCAGGTCAATAAATTAGCTTCATCAACCTGGATGTTACGGAAGTTTTTCATCCCACATTTGCGGATTTCTTCAAGCTCCTGTTGGTTAACAAAGCATAAAGGGGTGTCAAATAGGGGGAAGGCACCACATCATAAGACCCCTCCTGACTCCCTCTGACTGCTAAGTGACAGCACTACCAATGATGAGGACTCTAAGGATGGCCTAGACTGAGTGTGACTGGGATCAGTTGAGCGGCTCAAAGTACAACAGGCCCCTCTGTGAGGTTCTGGCTTGTACACATAGCCCAGACCCAGGGACACTCCCCATCTCTAGGACCCAGGTCACCTTCACACTTTCCTGCAATCAGCTTGCATGTCTGTCTGGGGCAGGCATGGTGGCCATTTGCAGGCACTGCAAAAATGGAATGCACAGCTGACTTCTTCCCTAGGCACCAGCTGTGCCTCAGATACTGAGGACATAAGGACAGAGAAAACAGGCCCAGGAGCAAGTCAGCAGCAAAGCTATGACCCTATCTACACAATGCTGCAGTGCAACTCAGAGGTACTCCGCCTAAAGCCACACACGCAGCAAAAAATGGCCTCTCAATCTGGTAGGAAGCTAACTGGAAAACGCCAAGTCTCCTCAGCTATAATACAGAGGATTAACATCCAGGGTTGTGTTGGTGTTTCTGCGTGCCATCAAGTTGACTATGACTCATAGCAACCCTATGAACAATGGCTCTGAACTCTGCCCTATCCTGAGCCAGTCTCACCATCTCTGACATACCTGATCTCATTGCCACAGTCACTCTGTCAGTCCATCTCATCCCAGGGCCTTTCTTGCACTGTCCCTCTACCCTTCCAAGTACGATGTCCAAGGACTGGTCCCTCCTGACAACATGCACAAAATATGTGAGACATAGCTTCAAAATCCTTGCCTCCAAGGAGGAGCCTAGTCACACTTGACTCAACAGCAACCATCATCATCAACAACAACAAGGACAGACCTGTTTGTTCACTAACAAAGGCAAAATCATGTAGTTACTGATAGAACCCTGTGCAAATATAATAATCTAAGTGTGCTCTACTGTTCATACGATTTTTTAAGGCCTGTTCATTCAGTGGATAGTCAATCTTTCTTCCTAGTCTGTCTTAATTTGGAAGCTCAGCTTTAGTATAGTATCTGACAGACAAACATTTTACCCAAAAGAGCAGATGATACACAGCAAAGATAAATGTATCTAAGCTATTAAAAGCATAAGCATGCAAAGACAATTCCCCAGTACAAAACCTGACTGACAAATCTGGCATTGGTTCTTCCACCTTCAGATCCACAATCAACAACATCCTTAGCACCAGAAGTTAGGAAATCAAAAGACAATTTGCTTTTGGAAAGTCTGGTGTTAGGGACCTCTCCACAGTGCTAAAGAGCAACAATGTCAGTCTAGAGACCAAGTTGCACCTGATCCAGGCCACAGTCTTCTTAATTACTTGCTATTCATCTGAAAACCAGACAATGACTAAGGATGACAGAAGAAGAATCAATGCTTTTTCAGTTGAGGTGCTAAAGAGTACTGAACATACCATGGACTGTCAGAAGAACAAATAGGTCTGTCTTGGAGTGTGTGAAACCAAGTTGCTCCTTGGATGCAAGGACACTGAAACTCCATCTCACATATTTTGGGCATGGTGTCAGGAGGAACCCGTCCCTGGAGAAGTACATTATGCTTGGGAAGGTAGAGGATCTCCCTAGGAGAGGAAGGTCCTGGATGAGATGGGTCACAGTGACCATGCCAATGGGATCAGATGTGTTGGTGAGGTTGGCTTCGAATAGGGCAGAGTTCAGAGCCATTGTTCATAGGTAACTATGCATTGTAGTTAACTCAATGGTACATAATAACAACAACAATTAGTAAGTCAATGCAGCAAATGTGTTCATTCTAAAACCATACTGTAAGGACATCGGTACACTAGCAGAGTTATCTTTAGCTTGGAACTGGCCATCCCTTGTTTTTCAACATTGCACCAGCCTGGTGATATCCCACATCCAGCAGGTGTGATAATCAAAGACATCTGGTTATCCTGCCCAATGACACAGTCTCTTCTGCGTACTACTCAGCAGGTCTCTGTCTCCTCTGCCTCCCTGGCCCACCATGAGCTGGATTCTCCTCTCTCTAATCCACCCATGCCCTGGCTCTAGGACAGTTAAAGGCTCCTCCTATGTTTGAGGCTGTAACTTCTTTGGCACAAAAGCTAAGAACTGGATCCTACACTCAGCCCAAAGTTCCCTCCACATGCCCACTCCCATCACACATGCTTATCGTGTCATTGGGAGTATGAGAAGCTCACTTGGAAGCAGCAGTAGAGGTGTGCACTGAAAGCTGTGCAGCACACAGCACATCTACCATCTGTCATATGAACAGACAATGAGAAATGATGTGGTCATGGGTGCAACCCCAGCTGCCCATCACATTCATTCAAACCACAGTCTAGCTCTGGAAATTCTGGTCAAGTAAGTCAGCAGTGGAGCCTGAACACAGGGGTTTTAAATGAGCTGTGTAGTGACAAAAGACAGCAACTGGCAAAGAGGGATAAATGCCTTCTCTCAGCACCCATGAGACTGCAACGTGCAAATGGCTGTTAGCAGTAGAGGTGATCAGCAATAAGAATGACCCCCAGCTGGACTGACTAGCAGTGGCAACCAGCAGTGGTGACCCAGCAGCAGGGGTGACCAGAAGGGGTGACCAGCAGTGATGATGAGCAGTGAGGGAGACCAGCAGTGGTAACGAACAGGAGTGGAGGAGACCCAGCAGTGGAAAAAGAGGGCCTCAGCCTATTAGGACCCCATCCCTCTCCCTGAGACTGCAGGAGGGAGAGCACTGACCACTAGGCCACTAGAGTTCCCTATGGAACTTGAAGAAACACTCAACTTGCCAGGTGCCCTCTGGGCTTCCTGAAATGTCCTAGGCACACTCGAGCCACTCCCCTGGGGATAAGAAGGCCTTGGCAGTCAGGCCAGGGAAAGATGACACATTCCCACTCAAGGACAAAATAGGCAGAAGGGGAGAGGGAGGGGAAGGCAAAGAGAGGAGGAAAGAAAGGAGGCAAGGAGGAGCAAGCACAAGCAGGGAGGGGAACAAGAAGAGGGGCAGGGGCAAAGGCAACAGAGGGAATGGGTACAAGGAAAGGCACCACAAAGTCCTGGTGCCACCATTCAGGTTGTTCTTGGTAAACATCTGCTTGGTGAACAAATCCAAAACTTGAGCTTTAGGTGGTTGTTGTTGTTGGGTGCCAATGAATTGGAACTGAACTACAGTGACCCTCCTGTTGGTTTTCAGAGACAATCTTTCTGCTGTGGAGCAACTGGAGGATATGAATTGCATGCCTTTGAGTTAGCAGTGCAACTCTTTACCACTATGCCACCAGAGTTCTAGGAGCTTTAGAAAGGAGGGGATAAAGGGAGCTCTGGAGGCCTAGTGGCAAGAAGCTGCATTGTAATCCCAGAGGTACACAGTTCAAATCTACCATATGCTCTCCTGGAGGAGGGGCAATATCCTCCTGTACCAGTCAGATACAATTTGACGGTAAACAGACACAAAAAAATAAAATAACTTTTTTTTTTTTAAAAAAAAGAATCTGGGATATGGGCAGTTTCCTTCAGCTTTCTGGTCTTTGATCTAAAATACTAGAATAAGAGCCTTGGATAGAGTAGAAAGTATCAAAGCCCCTAAGGCTGGAGTTCTACCAAAACCCACTGCATCAAGTCAATTTCTATTTGATCGCTCAGTAGGACAGAATACTGCCCATGGGGTAGGTTTCCAAGGCCATAAATCTTTATAGAAGGAGACTGCCACACCTTATCCCAAAGAGCGGCTAGGGAGTTAGAACTGCTGGTCTTATGTTTAGCAGCCAAGATGTAAACAAGTATAGATAGGAAAAAAAAATACTCCAGATGGAACTTTGAAAACTAGATAAACAGACATCAATATTCACAGGAAATACCAATACGAAAAATAATCTCCAAGGATTCTTTATGGCTTTAGAAACTCATACACTAAATAGGAATGTGGGGAAGAAAGGCCAAAAGGTACATTCCACAATTACAAGAATATTGCAAGATGGGACTTAAATTCAACACTGCAATGCAAATTTTCATCCTATAAGAGAAAAAGAACTCAATGATCATTGCGGAAGAATCTAGGGAGGGCATGCAGTAGTTCAACATCAAGGAGGTGCCTGAGCAGAAATAAAGGGGCCCCTTTATCCCTGGTCAGATAAGAGGATAGGATGACACCACTGACAGCAGAACTGGATTACCAAAAGGCCAGAGACAGCTCTCTGATTAACTTACTGGTGGAAGAGGCACAATTCTAACCAATCAGAGAATACTAGTTTATAAGGCAAAGCTAAGCTAAACCAAGTTAAATAAATATCACTTTCAGCGAATGCGGGGCACCTGCGGGGTTTCCCCACAGGGTGTTGTCACACAGGTGCAGGACCTTCTCACTTGAGCATCCTAACTCCACCCTGTTAAATTCCAGGCACTGTGACACCACCTGCCCCGGTTTCCCAACCTCCTCCTGAGCCTCAATGAGGAACTTCTGTCTCCACTAAGTGGACGGAATGCTGAAAGTCCTGCATTGCAGAAGACATTCCTACAGTCAATCCCACAGAGGACAGTCATCCAGACCAATGTGTCAACACACCTCCACCAAGGAAAATCCCTTACGGAGCAAGATTCAAATTACCTGACAAAAAGCCAGGTTCAAGCTGAAGGTCCAAGACTATGAAAGGCATGAGGACTGGCAAAGATTCAAGCAAAATTGTGCCCCTATAATTGAGAACCATCCTGATAAGAGGATTTAAAGAAATCAGTGCAAATCTAGAGAGTTCAAACGTAAATGGGTGCTATTACAGAAGGGAGCTTTGGTGGCTCAGTGTTAAGGAGTTGCACAGCCAACCCAAAGGCAAGCAGTTCAAAACTATCAGTGGCTCCATAGGAGCCTATGTAATTGACTGCCTCTGAAAACCCACTGAAGAGTCAGGTATGAGTCAGTTCACACTTCAAAGTTCATAACAGCAGAAATTAATTACAGAAG